CCGGCTCGGCACCCCGTTCCGCACCCTGGGGACCCCACTCGGTGTCCCAGGGACCCGCTCCCGGCCCCTACGCCCGCTCCGGCTGTAGCAGGCCCGGGGAGCCGGCGACGGCGGCCGGGGGAGGCCAGGCCGGGCCGGGCAGCGAGGGCAAGGAGAGTGCGGCGCAACCCGAGTTTCCCACCTTTTCTTCTGGCCCAGACGCGGCCGGGGCGGACGAGACCTCTCGCGCTCTGTCTCCTCCTCTTCTTGCTTCATGGAGCCATACGCCTGGGTGGGGGCTTCTAGGAGAAGCGGGCCGGACGCGAGGCGCGGGCCGGGCGGAGCGAAGGAGACCGGCGGGCGGGAGGCGGAGGAAGCAGCGGGGCGGCGGCAGCGGCGGCGACGTCCAGGAAGAACTGGAGGTATTCCCCGGGCGGCTGGAGGACTGAGTCGACCCGGGGTTCGAGTCCTCCGGTATCCCAGCAGCCACCGGAGGCAGTGAGGTAATGGAGGCGGAATGTAGGGAGTCCTCCAGCGGACCACACGCCCTCTAGCGAGCCGCGGAGCACCATAGAGCTCGCGGGCGTGGGAACGCCGCCCCACCGCCGTCACGTGACCGCCGCCCGCGCACTGTATTGGCTGGCGCTGGCTCGACGAGATCGAATTTAGGAGGATGTTTTGCATTTGTAGGGCTGAGTTCTAGGCGGTTGGGATAAAGAGGACGCTCTGGGAAGAGGGGAAGGTTCGTGAGCTGCGGACGCAGAGTCGCTGCGACGGGTTCCGGGCCGTGCGGCGGTGTTGCTGCGCGGCGGTCCGGCCGGCCCGAGGCCCGCCGGGCTCCTCGGCTCGGGCGGCGCAGTGCACGCCGGGAGCGGTAGTCCGTCTTCCGCGGCTCGGCTGAGCTCAGCCTTCCGGCCGTCCCACCCACCGCGGGACATAGGCCCGCCAGCGGCCTCGACGCCCGGCAGCGGCCTTGGATAGCTGGCTGGAGCGGGCCGCGGCGACCGGCGGAGGCGGCAGACGGCGACAGCTCGCCGGGCCCGCGGGGGATGCGTTGGGCCGGGGACGGACTCTCACGCCCGGCTTCTGGTGCCCTGCGCGAGGGCGAGTCCCACTCCGCCGCCCGGGGAGACCGCCGGACAGCACCGACCCGCTTCTGAAGCACGTGCAGACGCATTTACGAACCCGTTAGGAGCCTGTGACTTTAACTCTGATCTTACATTGTGTTTCTTTGTTGTGTTTGCGCACTGGAGCATTCCGCCCTTTCTACCGAGCACACTCCTAGCCCAACATGGTGAATTGCAGATGGGGTTTTATGAAGTCTTACTTATTTTGTGCTAGTCCCGAAGCTGGAATCCAGGGCCAGAGCACTGTTCCCGAGCTCTTAGCTCAAGGCCACCGCCCTGCCATTTGATCCACATCTCCACTTTTGGATTTTTTGGTGGTTAGTTGGAGGTAAGAGTCTCACTAGGGTTGGAGACACGGCTCAGTTGGTAGAGCGCCAGGCAAAGAATGAAAACAAAGTGCCAGGTACCGAGTTCTAGTCGCCGTATGGGACCAAGAGAAAAAGTCTCACGTTCCTCTCCCGGCTGCCTTTGAACCAAAGTGCTCAGATCTATCTACTGAGTAGTTAAGATTACAGGTGTAAGCCCAGGTACCCAGCTGTCATTTCTGCTAAGCGCCTTCTCCTTGTCAACTCCCAAACAAATTGTCTGCTTTTTTTCTTTCACATGTTTGTAGCTAATCAGGAGACTGAGATCTGAGGATTGAGGTTCGAAATATGGGAGATACTTATCTCCAATAAACTATAAAAAATGCCAGAAATGGAGCTGTGGCTCGCAGGCCCGAGTTCAAGCCCCACGTGTGACACGAAAAGAAAGAAAAAGTGACTCAAACACACAGATAATTGTTGAGTGTTTGCTGTTCTGATGATGCACAAAAGACATCCTTAATATGTTTGTCCTCAAAGACTGAACAAAAGTAGTAAAAAGAAAAAAAATGCAAAGCACATCTAACACTGAGGCTTTCCAGCAAAACCCTTCTGCGTTAGAATGCATCACATATGAAAGTGTAAGATTTTCTATTACAAACTTTTAGCATAATTACCTGGAAGTAACAGAGCCTGAGACAGCTCAGTGTTTGGTCACTCTGGAGCAGAAGAACCCAGCAATGACTGGGAGAAGGAAGCGACCCCTATACTTCGTAGATCTGAAGATGACATCTTTTTTTTTTAATTTTTATTTATTTTTTATTGTGAAAATACTGTACAGAGGGGTTACAATTAGATGGGCAAGATAATGAGTACATTTCTTAACAAACATTGTAGCCTCCTCCTTTGTTTCCCCTTCCCATCTCTTCCCAGCCTCCCCCCAAGATGACCATCTTTTTGTTTGTTTGTTTGTTTGTTTTGGGTCCCATCTTGGGGCCTGAACTCTGGGCCTGGGCGCTGTCCCTCAGCTCTTCAGCTCAGGGCTAGCGCTCTACCACTTGAGCCACAGCACCACTTCCGGCTTTTTTATTTTTGCTTATGTGGTGCTGAGGAATCAACCCCAGGGCCTCATGCATGCAAGGCAAGTGCTCTACCACTGAGCCAACTTCCCAGCCCCAAGATGACCATCTTTTAAAGGGGGACTTCTTCAATAGTTTTCACAGTTCCTATCAAACTTGATGTGCTTGTGACTGATGTGGCCACATTTGCTAGTTTCTAACTTTTGCTCAAGAAAACTACAAATTAGATGACCAAATGGCTTATAGCCAGAAGTACAGGAGGCAGAAAGCCAGAGGCGATTTTTTTTTTTTCTGAATAAGAAGGCCAAATCCTGATTATATTTCACATAGTGAAGGTCTTTCCACTGAAAGCCTTAAAACATGGCATCTGGAAAGAAGCCTTAGTCTATTGCTCCCACGATGATAGTATATAGTCATTAAACAGCTCACACATAGGGGAGTTATTGCTCCCCAGTTCTCAAGCTGCCAGAAGGTAAAAAATAGTTAAGTTGGACTTGAAACCCTCCCAAATTAAAGCAAAACCAAACCTGCTCTGAGAAGTAGGATCCAGATGCTGTGGTGGTTTTTAACAAGCTGAAAGGGATGGATCAGGCATAAGGAAAGTCACCTGGAGGTCACCTCATGTCAGAAAGCCACGGTCTGCCACCGTCCTAACATTCAAAAGTAAACAATAGAATTTTGAGCAGGAGGGAGAAATTAGAGACCATACATGCCATCACTATGGAAAAGGCTATGACTGTTTGACAATCTCACTTTCTATGTATAATCTGGAAAACTAATTTGTGATTAATGAACACAGCAGGAAGCAAGTAAAATAGTTTGGAAAAACTGAAACCTCTCATGAACCAGCAATGTCACCCTATTCTGCTGTGAAAAAGTTGTGCTTCTCATCAAAACACCATCCCCCCACTGGAGTGGCTAGTATATAGTAATGATTAAAAGAGTTCACTCTGGGCTGGGAAATTGGCTCAATGGTAGAGTGCTTGCCTTGCATGCATGAGGCCCTGGGTTCGATGCCTTAGCACCACATAAGCAGAAAAAAAAAAGCCAGAAGTGGTGCTGTGGCTCAAGTGGTAAGGCGCTAACCTTGAGCTGAAGAGCTGAGGGACAGCGCCCAGGCCCAGAGTTCAGCACCCCCAACTGACCAAAAAAAAAGAGAGAGAGAGAGAGTTCACTTTGAAAACATTGTGTGGGTTCAAATCCCAGTCCCAACAATAAATGAATACCTATGAACAAGTTGTTCATGTTAGTCTGACCATTTGTAAAATGGGTACTGTAGCAATACCTATCTGAGATTTAAGTAAGTCTATACATATAGAGCAGGACACACTGCTTAGTCACTATGAACTTTGTGAGTGTTCAGATTAATATGAAGTGACTGTGCTCCAGCTGCACTTATCTTCTCTTGGATTTACAACCGTATTTGGGCACTACATTATAGGCTAGAGAAAATCTAACCAGTAATAAAAAAAATTCCCAAGCAATATTAATCACTGATGTGGATTTCATGGGTCTAGCTTTCTGGTTGACCAAATCTGGTCATGATATGCCTTTATGTACTACCTTCTACAAAAGTCAAGCCCAAGCTGGGCACCGGTGGCTCACGCCTGTAATCCTAGCTACTTAGGAGGCTGAGATCTGAGGATCACGGTTCAAAGCCACCTGGGCAGGAAAGTCCGTTAAACTCTTATCTCCAATAAACCACCAGAAAACTGGAAGTGGCGCTGTAGCTCAAGTGGTAGAGCGCTAGCCTTGAGCTGAAGAGCTGAGGGACAGCGCTCAGGTCCCGAGTTCAAGCCCCATGACCGACAAAAAAAAAAGTCTCACGTTCTTGGGCTGGGAAGGTGGCTCAGTGGTGGAGCGCCTGCCTTGCATGCATGAGGCCCTGGGTTTGATTCCTCAGCACCACATAAGCAAAAAGAAAAAAAGCCAGAAGTGGCACTGTGGCTCAAGTGGTAGAGTGCTAGCCTTGAGCTGAAGAGCTGAGGGACAGTGCCCAGGCCCAGAGTTCAGGCCCCACGACTGGACCCAAAAAAAAAAAAAAAAAAGGTCTCACGTTCTTTCCTGCCCAGGCTGGTTTTGAACTGCAATCCTCAGATCTCAGCTGAGTAGCTAGGATTACAGGCATGAGCCACTGGTACTTGGCTTTTTGGTGGTTTTTATTGGAGATAAGAATCTCATAGACTTTTCTGCCCAAGCTGGCTTTGAACTATGGTCATCAGATCTCAACTCCTGAATAGCTAGGATTACAGGCGTATGCCACAAGCACCCAGCTTGTTACACTTTTGAAGCAAAGTCTTACTAAATAGGCTAGGCTGACCTCACTTCACCTTCCTCTTCCTGCTGGAATTAGGGTATGTACACCACTGTACCCAGCTTCCCATTCAATTTTTTTTCTATAAATATTTCCTTAATGACTTTTCAGCACTGAACTGTTTTTTTTTGGCCAGTCCTGAGACTTGAACTCAGGGCCTGTACATCATCCCTGAGCCTCTTTGTGCCCAAGGTTAGCACTTTATCACTTGAGCCACAGCACCACTTCTGATTTTTTCTGAATAGTTTATTGGAGATAAGAGTCTCAAGCACTTTCCTGCCTGGGTTGGCTTGGAACTACCAAATCTCAACTTCCTAGGATTGCAGGCATGAGCCACCAGCACCCACCTTAGCATCTCCTTGAAGCAATTTTGTTCCCTGAATCTAGAGATTTAAGAGGTTTTGTTTTTGTTTTCTTTTTGTGAGACAGAATTTTATCATATAGCTGAGGCTGGCCTCAAATTTGTGATTCTCCTGCATTGGCATCCTGAGTTTTGGGATTATAGCACTACACCAGCCAAGAGTCTTGTGACAAGATGTCAAATTATTTGCAAGCTTGGTGAAGGTCTGAGGTGGAGGCAGAATGGATTTAGTTCATATGCACTAAATGCAGTTCACCCCCAAATTGTCAGGGTTAGGGATGGTTGGCAAGTCCAGCCGAGGTCAGTGTGGAAGAAGGATATCAGAAATAGCAAGGCTCAGAGACAACATAGGATCCACCCTTCCCTCAGGGGTAATCTTGTCGGCAGAGTTTAATCCTCCTGACCTTTTGTAGAACACCACACTAATCTGTGACTTCAGCTTCTGAGAAATGGCAGGGACCTTGATGTGTTGGGAAAGCCAGTTGTAAACTGAGTTTATAATCCTAGCTACTCTTCGGGCTGAGATCTAAGGATTGAAGTTCGAAGCCAGCTGGAAGAGATAAAGTCAAAAGACTCTTACCTCCAATTTACTAGCAAAAGGCTGAAGTAGAGGGGTGGCTCAGTTGTTAGAGTGTCAGCCTTGAGCAGAAAGCTAAGTAAAAACATGAGG